AACCCGGTAGTCACTACGTAGTTCCCAACAAACTGGGACGATTTTGCATAGAGGCGCTGCAAGCGTCAATACTTCACATGTGTGGCGGGATATTTGAATTTATATATTCAATTTCCATACATACTAAGGCGGCTAGTCCATATATAATGATGGAAAAATCAATATATACATTTATATATTCAATTTCCTTACATACTAATGCAGCTAGTTCATATATAATGATGGAAAATCAATATATACTTTATATATTTGATTTCCATACATACAAAGGCAGATAGCCCATATGTAATAATGGAAAATCAATATATACATTTATATATCCTTTTCCCATACAAACTAAAGCAGTTAGTCCATATGTAATGATGGAAAAACCAATATATAATTTATATATTCACTTCTCATACATACTATGGCAGCTAGTCCATATATAATGATGAAAAAATCAATATATACATTTATATATTTGATTTCCATACATACGAAGGCAGATAGCCCATATGCAATAATGGAAAAATTAATATATACATTTATATATTCGATTTCCATACATAGGAAGGCTACTCCATATATACTTAATGATGAAAAATCAAAAATATATATATTTATATATCCCTTTCCCATATAAACTAAGACAGATAGTCCATATATAATCATGTATAAATCATATATAAAACCGTGAAAACTTGAAAACTTATATCTTCAATTCATATTCCACTAATTGTAAGTATAAACAATAGGCAAAGATGAATCTCATTATAGGAATGAATGAATGATTAATAATATACATTGAGTCGAATGAAATAACCACAACTTAAATTAATTTTTTAACAGTAAACATTTTCAGATCATACATTTAACTAATACCAATTTTTCATAAAAGCTATAATATTTTAAACCTGCAGATCTCAAGAATATAAAATAAGTATCCATTATACATACAGAAATATTTAATTATTAAGTGAAATAAATTATTTATTAATTAGCTTTATATAAATACTCTATCTACAGAACATAGTGTATTAACAAGAAAATTAAAAAAGTATTAAATAATATATCTAATTATTTTAATATATTTTCTAATGTCGCTCCATGGCAGGATTGTCGTGTCCAACATCAACAACGTTCGACTTGAATTTTGTTTTAAGCTTCTTTTGAAATTTCTTCAAACGACAAACCTGGTAATAATTGTTAATTATTTATTTATACAGTCACAGGTTAAGAGCATGTCAAAATAATAAAATATATATAGTTTTCAAAAAATAAAGTCAATAGGTCAACATTAATTTTTTAATTCGAATTAATAAAACGAAGAAATTGTGAGTGTTTTTGAAGACATAGAAGCAAAAACATTTAAAAACAAGTGGTTCTCTTAGAAAATAATTATTCATGTCTGAATTATTCGTCTTCATTCAATATGATGATATTCTAAAAGATGTATTCTAGCAGTTTTACTAAAACCATCTTTAATTGAAGTCAGAAGCAAATTATATAAAAAGTTTATTTTACGAAATTAACAAGAAATTCGTACAAAACAATCAAAGTATAAGAGTGCCTGCCTCTTTAATTCTATCACGACTCATTTTATTAAAATTTTGATACCCAAGAGTATATAACAGTTTTGATTAGATTTTAGTAACTTTTATCTAGTTTTCATTAATGTAAACAAATTATGATGTCCAGAATGTAAATCAAAAGTTATTTGAAGAAAACTAAAAAATGTCCTAAATCGGGATTTATTTAATATATGGCCATATATTACAAATTATGGAAATACTACAGTACACATTATTTCACATGCAAATTATTCAAAATTTTAATATTAAAGAGTATATAACAGTTTTTATGAGATTTTAGTAAATTTTATCTAGTTTTTACTAATGTGTACAAATTAAATTTACTCTATTGAAATGTCCTAAATTTACATCAAAATGTCCTCCCAGTCTTCGAGACGAGTATTTTTACTCAGAGTGAATTGAATAAACTGTCTATTATGTACCTATTGTTAGCTTTACATACAAAATGTTTTTTGGTTTTGTAATTTTTCAAACCTAGATTTACTTTGTATTATTTTATGATAAATTTAATATATTTTAAATTAATTCGTTGATTATTTTTTTTATTTTGGTCCACTGAGGAAGAGTCAAATTGGGATTCGAAAAATGTAGAAATCGATTAAAATTATTTAATTTTCTACTAAAACCGGTTCTATATAATTTTGTTTTATAAACTGACAAAACATCTAAAACTATGATATATTTTTATTTTTATGGATTTTCTCCATCCATTGGCTACTACGTAAAAGTCTAAGTTCTCTGTTGAAAATAAGTTGCTGCTATATAAATCAATTATTAAACCAATCTGGACCTACGGAATTGAGCTCTGGGGATGTGTTTACAAATCAAATATAGCTATAATGCAAAGAACTCAGTCAAAAATTTTACGTACAATTCTCAATTCTCCGTTGTACATGACAAATAAAACCATTCACAGCGACCTCAACATGAAAACGATGCAATTAACGTTCAAAGAATTCAAGGAAAAATACAAACGCAAACTGGACTCACATTCGAACCCATCAATAGTTGACATTACTCAACCTTTTGGCATAATGAGATTGAAACGACAATGGCCTTTAGACTTAGTCTTAGATTAGATCTAATATACTATTATCATTATATTGTAAAACTAAGAAGATCTCACTAAAGTTCTTCTTAGGCATTGCTCTTAAATATTGCCAATTTAGCTCATAGGAATCTTTATGTATTTCTGATTGCTAAATAAAACAGAGTTCAAAAAAAAAAAAGGATTTTCTCCATCTATGAAAAAGTTCAAACGACTACCCTAATCATGCATATTATTCTGAAATAACCCCCTCTCTTTCCCCTTCGTAAATATGATGATTATTTGTCTTACCTCTGGTCTCCGGTAAGAAAACTGCCACAAATATGACGGAAAGAGCGCAGAAAAATGCATATAGTCCAAAAGTTCCTGAATTTTTCAAGAGAGCTTGCAAGTCATCAAAAGTGAGAGCGATCACGAAGGCGGTGACGAAACAGATGGACGTGCAGATAGCGGATGCATGAGCCCGAAGATGTCCAGGAAAGATTTCGCTTATAACCACCCATATAGCGCCACCGAAACCTGAAATATTAAATAACATATTATCTGAATACGGATCAGAGGCATGGACTCTGAGCAAGGTATGAGAAAAAGCCACATTTATGAAATAGAGAAGATGAACTGCACAGTTAAGATAACATATGAAGATGAGATGAGTGAGCAGAAAAAACTATTGAGAACGATAATTCGTCATTCGCTCTCGATGATATCATTTCTATACGGGTCGATTGTGATTGGTCGTCGTGTCGCTCGAGTATGATTGCTTTGATTGTATAGTGAAAATAATAAAACAAATGAAAAATCTGACGTTTAAGAAACTTAAGTTTATTGAAGTAATTTGTATTATTCGTGGTTACTATATATATTTTTGAAGTTATTACTAGATTACTAGATACTACCAGCTGTTCAAAGAATGAAATTGTATCACCAGCAAAAAAGTAAAAAAAAGCAGTTCATGAATGTATGTTAATTTTAATTACACGAAGTTCTTCAAACACAATTACATGATAAGTGAAATTGTGAAAACAATATATTTATTCAGGCCTCATTTAATATAAATTCTCTGCATTTTTATACATATTAAAAATATATATTAAAAAGCACAGCTTTATTCTATCATGACAAAGATATATCATTAACAGAATTATATCGCAGACACTTTTGGAAGTTTAGAGGAAGTTTACATGTTTTTCGTTTAGGATGGCTATTAAGTATTACAAAGTTGCATATTTTTATAAATATTGAAGAATAAATTGATATTCAGATTTATTACTCTAAACAAGAGATCAAGCACAACAATAGTACATCATTTATATATACAGATATACATCTTTGCAGTTTATTTATTGATAGTGTTAATGAATTTATTCACAATTGTTATAAGTTTACTGTGTAAACGAACATTATAGAATGTATTAATCAGCAATTACTTCATTTCTTTAATAAAAGTTCAAGTCCTAAATGCTAATTACAATGACAAACCGATCATGTCTAAAGTATGACTTCAATTACATTAATATATATATATATATATATATATATATATATAATTTGATATTAATTATAGATATCACATAACTTACCAATAGAGTTTGTAAAAATAAAAGCGGCTATACATCCCATTGGTATCGAAGTCAAAGAATCAGCATTCATCAAATTGTTTTCAATTATATAAAAATACGCACCAAAGGTCCCCTAAAACATAGATTTCCAAAAATAACAATATATTACTATTTCAACACCATCAAAATTTAATTTAAGGATATTTTAATCAAAACTTATAAGTTAAAAAAAAAAAACTTACCATTGCAATGGTCATCCCGGCGCCTGAAAATATTAACAAAGACTTTCTGCCGCATCTATCAAAAATAAAAGGAGTAATGAGTGCAGCAAATGTTTGAATCGCTCCTGAAATATAATATGAAAAAAATGTTGAAAAAGTAATTAATAAGAAAAGTAAATTATGATATGCTCTGACACTACTAAAACCTCTGTCATAAAATACAGCTATGATATAAATTTAAACTAGTTGGAATTGGTATTTTGCTTTGAGGCAAGTTACATAAACTTCCCGATATGTGTAAATAATCGACTTAACAAATAAAAAGTAAGTTAAGTAATTAATAAATAAGTGATTAAAAGTAAAACAAGATTTACCAACCCATTATCATGGCCATGACATCCGGCGAAAGACTTGATGCCGTTTGTTCGAACAAGGATTCGGCGTAAATTAGTACGGCAGTAACTCCTGATAATTGAAAGAAGACGGCCAATCCTATTCCCAAAAATAAAGGCAATTTTTGGGTACCACTGCATAAGAGCTCACGATATGAGCCATCCTTGGCTGCTTCTACATCTGCCTAAATATAGAAGAAAATTAATAAAAAGGCATTCGAAATCGAAGAAAGATTTAATTTTTTTAAATAATTTGTATAAATTAATTGTATAATACGTTAGATTTTCTGTAAATTTAATAGTAAAGTTTTACCTGTATTTGCTTAACTTCTTTATCTATTTCATCTGCAGATCTATCTCTTAAGCGAACTAATGATGCTTTTGCTTTATCTAGCTTACCTAAAAATCAATATAATCCAAATTAATCAATATTTATAACAACTATAGATTATATTCTATACGGTTGTTTGAAAGGTCGTTTTTTATACCATAGAGTATTTAGCTATTTTTCTTTTTGAACCTTTATTAGAAACCTCGTATTTTAAGGTTTGTGTGTAAAAAGTCTTAAGACTTCTAAGCAATTACATGCAGTAGTTTTTGTGTGGTGCCACTTTGAATACAGAAACGTATTAAGCAGCAATTTCGACAAATTATACTCTTTTGCTACAAAAAGGGATAAAAATACTGTTTAAGTCAAAATGAAATTGACCGGTGTGTACGGAAATGACGTGTTGATAGTACAACAGTGCCAAAACTGGTTTGCCAAATTTCATTCCTGGTATTTGATGTCCAAGTGCACCAAGTCCAAGAAGTACGGTTGAAGCTGATAAAGACGCGAGAAAGACATTAGTTGATGCAAACCGGTGAAAAACAATACATGAGATCCCATCGAGTAAAAATTTATCAAATTTAACAGTCCATGACATTTAAAAGGTCTCGGATTTTTCTCAATGGTTCTCATTGAAAGAAACCTGTGTCATCGCACTGGCGTCCGCGATTCGCCTGTGAAAAGTCCTGAAAATTATCAGGTTTTGATGAAGCGTTTTGTTATTACTAGGAATGTCAAATTGGATATACAATTGTCCTTAAAACAAAAAACAAGAACCTACTCAAAACAGTTATAAGACTGAAAATCACCAGAAAAAGGTGATGCATTATTTTTGGTGAGATTTTAAAGGAATTGCTCGTATTTCACCTTTTCAAGGTAACAAAACGATTAATTTGGATGCTTTATGTCATCAGCTGGATGAACAAAATTATGTACTTCAATAGAAAAGGTCGGAATTAATCCTCAAGTGAGGTATAGTATTGCACCAAGACGAAGCAAGACCTCCCAAAAGTTTGGTCATTCGCCAAAGCCAATGGGACCCAATTCCACATTCATAATATTCTCCAGACCTGCCATCATTGGACCATTATTTGTCGTGGTCACTAAAAAAATTGTTACGAGGTACTTCAATAGAAGAGGTCAGAATTAACCCACAAGCAAGGTATAGCAATGCATCAAGACGACGCAAGACCTCCCAAAAGTTTGGTCATTCACCAAAGCTTTTACAGCTTTAATGAGACCCAATTCTACATTTATCACATCCTCCAGACCTGTCATCATCGGACCATTATTTGTCCTAGTCACTAAAAAAAATTGTTACGAGGTAAAACCTTAACCAAATTGAGGAGGTCAAAAAGCACCTTGATCAGTTTTTTGCCAATAACGACCAAAAAAATATGATCTCGAAATTATGCTAATACCAGAAATATGACAAAAGATTTCGATCAAAGCAGCCAATACATAATTTATTAAAGTATTTGTTTATTGTATGAATGATACGTCCTAACCACGTGGCTTCTTAGAGGAAATCTAAAGGTGATTCCTATCTATATTTGATCTAATTTTTATGAATTTTTATCCAAAAGGGGTATATATTACAACAAGACGAAGCAAGACCTCACATAGTTGGTCAATCGCCAAAAGCTTTTGTAGCTTGACCTGGTCATCGAACCAAAAGTTTACCAAAAGCTTACCACAACAATCCTATTAAAAAAGAAATTAAATTTTTCTTGAAATACTAACCTTTAGACGCACAACAGTATGGACTATCTGGCATAGGAATGAAACAAATTGCGAATATTATTGGAATGATTCCACATATTGTGGTGAACACGTAAGATGTGTAAGGGCCTATGCAATATACCAGCAACATCCCAATAGTTAGAGTAAGTTGCAATAGGCTCCTAATGTACCCGAAAAGTGTTCTGGAAGAAAAAAAAAAAATAAAATTATACATAACAGAATAAAAAACTATTTTTTTTTAAAAAATTCGAATATTTTTACTCACATCTGCGATTTCTGAAACATAAGATGGAGCTACTGAAAAGACGACACTACAAGCTATACCTAAAATGAACCTGGCGACCAGGAGTTGCATTATGGTCGTGGCCGAAGCCGTCAGGATCCAGCCGACCAGGCTGGGCAGAGCTGACCACAGCAGCGTCTGCTTCATGCCGATCTTGTTCGTTGAAAATGCACATATGAACGGCCCTGGATAATAGAATGGAAATATGTTGATTTACTAATTGTTGTTATAGATATTGTTATAATGTTTTTCCTTTAAAATTATTATTATTATTAAAACTGACAATTACCTACAGCAGTACCCAGAGATACCAGCGCGCCCATCCACATTGCCTCGGGGCTGGTGATGTGCCGTGGAAATGGGCTGTAACTTTTATCTTTTGCTAGTTTTGCTAATACTGGCGAAGTCCAGGCCATTGATGCACCCGCTGATATTGTTAAAATATTCACTGAAAATATAATTTATATAATTAATTAAATACATAAAGTATTAAAACAATAACGCATGTCACTGATAAAAATAGGTATCAACTTGAACACTGACAAGGAGATTCTTAGGTTTACTCTTATGAGATTTTGATAAAATTTTGCAAGGTGACAGAGTTTATAGTCGAACCGAATGCCCTAAAATATTATAGGCCTATGGGAAGTGGTTTAATTATAAAAATTAATTAAAGTTGCACTAAATGGACCGCGCGTTAAATGTAGCTCTTATTTTTTAAGCACATTTTACTCAATTTGAGTATTATAAATAACAAGTTAAAAATATTGACTACTATACTAGATGGTATATATATGTATATATATATATATATATATATATATATATATATATAGATGGTAGGTTCATGTGTAATATATTAAATAACTTCTCTAATTCAAGGCAATTAGTTATATGCAAAGCTATTCTTATAAGTCTTAATTAATTTGACATTATTTCGCTCGCTCCAATTATAGATGAAAATACTATCTGTGGGAATATATTAATTTAGCGCCACAGCCCATCAAATGGGTCGTTAATTAAAAAAAAGAAAAAAAACTATGTTCATAAAATTTCCCTGTTAACTCCTAATTATAAAAACGATTTTTTTAATATTTTTCTAAAGTTTGTTATCTGTCCCATTTTACCCCATAGGCGAGGGAAAATGGGACAGCCAGGGGACAAACAGGTCCAATGTCTTGATTTTAGTTTCAAAGTAATTGTGTACGAAATAAAAACTACTTTTATACAATCAATACAAAATATATATTTTATGGACGCATTTTTTAGAAAGATAATACTGTATATAACCTTGATCTGGTATTTTGTCAGAAATATTCTACAACAGAGTTAGAATAACTATAAATTTACTTTATCTCTTGTCATATTATTTTCTTTAATTAATTTACTTTTTTATTTATTATTTTTTGCTAGTAACACCTTTGCCAAAGTAAAGATCTAGTTGGTCCTTCTTACCCCAGTTTTCTATGAAATTAAATAATCTTAAGCGTTTTGAAAATGCAGACGATTTGATACCACTACGAGATTCTTAATTAAATTTCAATTAATTAAGACTTTTAATATACTTATAATATTTTTTATGTTGAAAGGTTGCCTAAGTCAAGACCTCTACAGAAATAATTCCTTAATATTAAGTTTAATTAAAATAAAACCAAAATTTTTGACATCTATTAAATTTTTAATTAGTTTATTCATTTTCAGTCTATGGTTGTTATTCAAAATACTAATTAAAAGTATTGACATTATTAATGTATTATTGACATCTCTTTCAACAAACTGACAAACTGTATTGACAATTTTTTCCTAATATTTTGTAAAAAAAATATACCAACAATAACTCCTATAATTGGAATTCGAAAACATTTAAGTGAATATTGTATACTTCGATAAGTGTATTTTCAAACATATTTCAAACTTATTTTATTTATAACATTTTCCTTCCATTGATTTCTTATCAGCAAATATTTCAATAAAAAATCAAACATGTTTGTTATATTAATAATTTTCACGGAGCCGATAAAATATTTCCTAATACAAATATTAGTCATTATTTGTAATTTGTAATTTTGTAAATATATAACGAAGTATTTATAAACAAAGATAAAATGCAATTCTTTAGATAAGGATTTTGACACGTGTAACTAAGATTGTAAAATATGGCTTTAAGTTTTACATATTTTAAATTAATTATGGTTCATTAAAATGCAGAAAGCATAAAATTATAATAAATAATTATAAATATTCGGCTATTTTATCATAAAAAGAATTATTGTATGTAATTAACGTGGAAAAACCAATAATTATATAACGTTTAATAGGCCAAATATTGGAAAAGATTAAAATTTCCCTGTATATGACTAATAATTAACTTCCCATAGGGCAAGCTATAGTAATCGCAAAAAATCGAAAATGAAAATTTGTATATATCTTTACGTTTCAAAACCTCCTGAACATTTTGGCATACCTTAGAAAAATGGATGTATGCGTGTGTGTGTGTATGTGTGTGTGCGGATACAAATTTTCGTCGACGATTTCGGGAACACAGATGAAACGATTTGAATAATTAAAAAACATTCGATTCGTATTGATAAGGAGACGTGCTGATTAGTTTTTGGCGAAGACAGGTCTAGCCGTTCCAAAGATATGGGGCAAAAAGTGGCAAAAACGGTAACTCAGTTTTTAAGAGAAAGGGAACGTCCGATTTGAATAATTTAAAAAACATTTTACTTGTATTAACAATATGAAGAACTGATCAAATTTTCATGAAGGCAGGTCTAGCGGTTTCGGAGATCTAGTAAAAAAAGTAAAAAAAAAAATGCCATTTGGCGGTCAAAAATGATCATTAGACATATGCACATCAAATTATCAGATATTTTATAGAGCTTTGAGAAAAAGTTCAGAATTTCCAAAATATTTCAAAATAAATTTTTCTTCAAAGTCTTTTTTTTTCAAAAAAAAAGGAAATTTTTGTCAAACATTTATAGTTTCTCAAAAATCTCATTTTTTCGGAATGTTAATCTTTTAAAAAAAAATTTTTGGTACGGGAAGTTCTAGCAATTTGCCTTAAGGCACGATGCCATGCACCCCACTAGTATATATAATAATCATCAAAGTTTGTTACACATGCATTATAGTATATATATACATTATCGATTTAGTAACAAATTGAAGGGTCAATTCTCGGATAAAATGAAAATGTTATGGTAATACTGTGTTAGGGGTCAATCTTCGTATTAGTTGGCAGTAACAAACTGTGTATTTGCTGTGCGATCAGGCGTTTTACACACAAAACCCAACTTCACTTGTTATCAAAGAGACATCAGAAAGTTGCACTTATGATAAAATTGTTATATGACCTTTGTGCGTTTTGTAGGTTAGGTTTTATGTGTAATCAAAATTTTGAGAATAACAATATTGTTTCAATAGATAGACTTTTTCACAGTTTTCACTACCAAAAAACAATATAACATCTGCTCTGTTACGGCAGAATTGCCCACTACCAGTTGATTTTTTTAAAATACCTATGTCTCAATTTCGGTTGATTAAGTAAAATTATTACACATATCGGGACTATTACAAGCGGCTAAATGCCACTTACGCCTAGTTTCTGTATATTCTAAATTAGTCACCTGCATTGGCAGCCACGAACTGTGTATACCTCCCATTTTTGATGATATTATTGAAATGCATTTTTACAATCTTGACTGATGTTTTCCTTCGAAGATTAATTTGTTGATTCAATATTAGTGAAATATGTCATTGAATGTTAAAATGAACAATATGGTATTTATTCTGTTGTTCTGCATCGCAAATTATTTCACTTGGAACTTAACTTCTGTTCTTCGTTCTGGAAATAAAAATATGCATTAAAATTCTTATAGAATATAACTTTATTAAAATTCAATAGTTACAATTTAAGTCATTTACAATACATAATTATTCTAAAAATTCATGAAAAGTGAAAGAAGAATTTTTAGTATTAGTCTCTGTGGATCAGAGATGTGGATTCTAAAAAGAGTAGGCAAAAGTAATAATATTATCAAGTTTATATAGAACCTTTTAGCTTATTATTAAATAAATTAGTAATATTACTAAATAAATAAATTTAATGATAATGATAATCTTTACTATACTTTACCGTAGTTATTTAATTTGGACAACTTACAACTATTGTTGCAACTAAAACAAAATTCTGCTCTCATTAAATGTATAAATTGATTTTGTAATAATTGCTATAGACAAATTGCAATTACATTTATATAGTATAAAATAAATAATGCAAAGATTAATTTCGCTGAACTATTATTACATTATTGACCATGTAATAAGTCTACGTAGTAATTACTACGTGGAAGTAATTAGTAGTTACTTTTGAGTAGAAGTAACTAATAGTAGTAACTTTTAAAGTTAACATTGAAAGTTCAATTAATTAACTTCTGAAAATGTCAATTTTTGCATATATTCACGTTTCAAAGGCTTCTGAACATTTTGGCATACCTCAGAAAAAAATGGATGTGTGTATGTGTGTGTGTGTATGTGTGTATGTGTGGATACAATTTTTCGTCGACGATTCCGGACGTACGGATAGACCGATTTGAAAAATTCAAAAAGCAATCGATTCCTATTGATAGGGAGATGTGCTGATTAGTTTTTGAAGAAGACAGATCTAGCGGCTTCGGAAATATGGAGCAAAAAGTGCGAAAAATGTCAGTTTTATAGAGAACGGATTAACCGATTTGAATGATCTACAAAACGTTCGATTCGTAATGATGGGAAGAAGTGGTGATTAGATTTTGGGAAGGCAGGTCCAGCTGTTTCGGAGATATGGAGCTATATGTGCCAAAAATGGCAGTTTTTGTGAGAATTCGATTAGAAAGCATCCAATTATAATGATTTAAAAATTTTTTGTTGCTTAAAAGCTTGTGTTGACAAAATGATTGCTATTGGTGAAAGAAATTTTTCTTATATATATATATTTTTTTTAATTTTCAAAAAAAAAAAAAATTGAATATCGAAAAATATTTCAAATTTTAATTCTAATTCTAGCTAAAGTTCTAAACATCACTTTGAGAACATTTAATATTCTTCGAATATTTCATTATGGTACGGGAAGTTCCAGCAATTTGCCTCAAGGCACGATGCCATACACCACTAGTTTGTATATATTTTAATTAATGTTTAGGGCGTTTCTTCCAGATTCTTTGATTTTTATAATAATTGTTGACGTATTACGTCTCACTTCTACGTTATTTGCCTATATAGAGATTAGAAAAAATAAACTATTTCATTTATTTCTATGTCGACGTATTAAATTTCTACATCTGGCGTACTAAATAACTAACTTGTATATCAAATCGCTTAATTGTTTCTATTTTATTGCCAATGATAATATGAAATACGAAACCCAGAGGAAAATTAATAAAAAAGATATATTTTTATCCACTAGTTTTAAGTAAACAAGTTAATAATAATTGGAAAACACAAAAACTATATAGTTCTGCATTTGTATGAATGTGTGTGTGTGTATCACACACATCAATTTTTCTGAGAGAAGGATATGCAAAAATTTTCATTTTCAATTTTTTTTCCATTACTATAACTTACCCTACGGAAAGTTGAAAATTCATAATATTTATAACTATAATTAGAGATAACCACAAAAACCACTTTATTAAAAAAAGATATTGGTATAGATTACTAATAACATCGAATAAATAAGCACATCTTGCAATAATAAGAAGATCAATCTTCCACCTTGCAATAATAATTCAATTTTTTGGATTTGTATTAAAGAACCCTCAGTGAACAATTTGTTTTACAAAGTTTGAATTCTTTGTAAAAGTTTTGGAAAAAGCGATAGATAGATAATTATGATATTATAATATTTTTGTGAGAAATATTTACACTTTTTAAAGCGTCCCCAAACAACCTCAATATATGCTCTGCTTCTGGAAAAGATATTAAAAATATTACCAAACTAATATTAACTTCCCGTAGGGTAAGTTATAGTAATCGCAAAAAAATCGAAAACGAAAATTTTTATATATCTTTACGTTTCAAAACCTTCTGAACATTTTGGCATGGCTTAAAAAACATGAATGTATGTGTGTGTGTACGTGTGTGTGTATGTGTGTGTGTTCGGATACAAATTTTCGTCGACGATTTCGGGAACACGGATGAAGCGATTTGAATAATTCAAAAAACATTCGATTCGTATTGATAAGGAGACGTGCTGATTAGTTTTTGGCAAAGGCAGGTCTAACCGTTCCGAAGATATGGGGCCAAAAGTGACAAGAACGGTAACTCAGTTTTTAAGATAACGAAGCGTCCGATTTGAATATGTCGCGTCTTATCAAATTTTCAACATCATGTTAATAATAATAATATAATTAAGTATTCCATAAATAATTTGCTTGACATTTTAGAATGCAAACTTGCCTCAATACATTCTCTGTCTCCGACTTTAGATATTATGTATTGTACTAGAACTGGAACAACTTGCGTTTTCTTTAAGAAAGTCAATTGTGCACTAGCGAGATTTTGCAATGTCAAGACCGACAATTTTAACCTGTTTACACAAGATAAGTGTGGATATTACATAGATTAGATCAAAAATCAATATGCATATGGAATTGAATCACTTTGCCGACAAAACAGATTTTTTTGCACATTTTTGCAAAGGTTGTTCAAACAGAACTGGAAGATGATGGCGATAAAGCAATTGATAGAAAAAAATTTTATAAAATTTTAAAAATATATAGCATCAAGAATGATATAATTTTGCAATGTTTGAAAAAATATTGTAACAAATGTATGGATATCAGTTGAGATTATTGATCTCAATTATGTTTACTACTACTAGTATATTTATATCGCTATTATATATTGAATATAGTTTCATCAAAAAGAGAATAGCCAACCACTGGGTTGTCTTCTTAAAACACATGTAAAAGGAATTCAAACGTATTTATTTAACCCCTTTCACTCGGATGCAACCGCTGCTGCGGCAAAATACATATTAATTCTGGAATTCGCGAGTGGTAAGGGTTAAAACACTTGTTGTATGTAAAAGAGCATATAACTGCTAGTGGATATCAATCATCACCAAGCAAATAAATTCCCTCCTAAACGATTATTCGGATTTTGATAAATCTTTTTGAAGTTTATTAAAGGAATTTTTTAGGATGCATGTGATTGTAAAAATATAGTAATATTGTAGAAACACTTATGTTGTATGTAAAAAAGTAAATAACTGCTAGTGAATAGCAAACATCACCAAGTAAATAAATTCCATTTAAGTTGCACTATTATTATTATTATTATTATTATTCTGATCTGATATCTTATATATAAAATTCTTCTATTATGATGTATGTGAAAATACTCCTTCTAAACGATTATTCGGATTTTGATAAATTTTTCTGAAGTTTGATAAGGGATTTTTTTTAGGATGTATATGATTATAAAATATAGTAATATCCATAGCTGGGCATTAACTCGTTAATCCGTTAATCGTTAATTAACGAAGTTAACATTTTGATTAACGGATTAACTTTTAAGTTAACTTTTAAAAATGTTAACGGACACGTTAACTTCCGTTAAAATGCGAGAAGTCCGTTAATCGTTAATCCAATGCCTACTATTTACCGCACGGCACAGCTTTAGCCAATGCCTTATTAAACGGCATAGAGAAAAGATTTGGACTACTCCTGAATGATGAACAGTGCCAACTTGCCGCGGCATTTCACCCAAAGTTTCGGTTAATGTGGCTGGAAACGTATGACAGCAGTAGAGAGGAATGCAGAAACTATAAACTATTGGACAAAAAATTAATTTTTTCTGAAATTCTTTATTTTGACATATTTTGGAAGATTTGAACTTTTTTTCAAAGCAATTTTACTGCTTTAGGACTGCATAGAGACAAAATATAGAGCGCGTAAGCGCGGCGTCGCTGTCTAACGGGTAAACATTGATACGGAACCCATAGGAAAATAGACAAAATTTATACTTATTGTTAAAATCTCTATAAAATATCTGAAAATTTGATGTGCATATGTCTAATGATCATTTTTGACCGCCAAATGGCATTTTTTTTACTTTTTTCATTAGATCTCCGAAACCGCTAGACCTGCCTTCATGAAAAATTGATCAGTTCTTCATAATTGTCAATACAAGTAAAATGTTTTTTGAATTATTAAAATCGGACGCTCCGTTCTCTTAAAAACTGAGTTACCGTTTTTGGCTCAATTTTGCCCCATATCTTCGGAACGGCTAGACCTGCCTTTGCCAAAAACTAATCAGCACGTCTTCTTATCAATACGAATCGAATGTTTTTTGAATTATTCAAATCGGTTGATCCGTGTTCCCGAAATCGTCGACGAAAATTTGTATCCGAATACACATACATACACACACACACATACATACATTTTTTCTAAGGTATGCCAAAATATTCAGAAACCTTTGAAACGTCGAGAAATGCAAAAATTTTCATTTTCGATTTTTTTGCGATTACTATAACTTGCCCTACGGGAAGTTAAAAAAACTCTTTCCCTTTATTTAGAAAAAAATTCTTGTAAAAACAATATGCAATCATAAAAACGGAAAGTTGACCAATAGCGTTATCACGGTATGTGATAATTGTGCCATTTTCCTTATACACACGGAAGTGTGCATAAAACGCGCGAGGGGTTAAATTACACATTTGAATTATACAAGTATTTTGTTTTATTCATAACCTGTTAACTTCCAGAATCTAAACTAATAAGTTTTTTAAGTTCACTAACGCAACGATATAAAAATGTAATTTTACACATATTAACGGATTAACGATTAACGTTAACTTGC